TTTAAAAATTATAAATATGTTACAATTATAATTACCATTTTATTACTGGTCTGTGGAACAACATTACACAATTTGGGCTCTAGTTTACAACTTTCTTCAGCTTGCTAAAAATAAAAAATCATATTAAATGGTATATAAAAAAATAAAAATGCATATAAACTAGTAAATATGTTTAAAAATTATAAATATTATGTTACAATTATAATTACCATTTCACTATTAAGTATACTAATAAGTTCTCTTATGTTTAATGTATTATAATTACAAAATAAATAATTTGTTTACATCTTGAAAAATTATAAGAATAAAAAATCAAACAAACGAACTTACCAATTCTTTATTTTTTTTTTGTTTTGATGCTGCAAACGGGTTGCTAGGAGCACCAAAGTGTTGTATTTTCACTTTTTTCCCCTGATGCATATCGCGTTCATGTTTTAATTTATAGTCATTATTAAAAACACTACCACAATCAAGACATTCAAGTTTAAAACGTTTACGTTTAGATTCCATGTTTTCATAAAAATTGTAACACAAATAAATTTAAATGAAAACGAAACCGAAGCGAATGCCGAACAGCAAATAACGATATTACGATAACCACAAAAAAATTAAAGAATAAATAAAATAAAAATGAAATATTAATCATAAATCGTGTCGTTGTGTAGAAATCGAAAAAGTAATAATAATATGTAATGCATATAATATAAAATTATAGGGGATATTGGAAAACAATTGTGAACTGATAAACAACAGACTGCAAAGTGCGGGCAGCGGAATGTTGCGTAGTGCGTACCGACCGAGACATCGGTATTTCCATGTCTATTTTAAGACATTAATATAAGACGTGAAAACAATTGTATTACAAGGGGGCTAGGTAAATTGAGTCCGAGATAAGTTTGGTACATTTTGAAAGCGGTAAATTGAGTCCCGGGAAAAAACAGGTAGTAGGTAAGTTGAGTCCCGGGAAAAAAATGTAAGTAAATATTATTTATGTAAGGATATAATATTTATATTTATATAAAAAAATATTACAAATACAAATTTATTAAAAAAATAAAAATAAATGTCGTTATTACTATACATTACATTATATTATATATATATATATATATTATTTACTTGGTAAAAACTTCATTGATATTGATTTAATAAACTCAAATCGGGTTATAACATTACTGGTGTATTTGGTCATTTGCTCCCTTAGGTTTTGTTCCTTATCTAGCGTGGTTTTCTTTTTTTTGATTTTTACTTCTTAATTTTATTTGTGTCTCTGACTGAACTTCAAGCAATTCATCAATAAAGTTAAAAATATTCGGATGTGGACTGTAAAAGCGTCGGTTTAATCGCGAATGATACGATTCACAACTATTGGTTGTACGCACGGTTGTAGCAGCAAATGCAGACCAAATATTCGGGGGAAATGTATCTCACAAATAAACATTGTATAGTTATTATAGCAATTTTTAAATTTAAAATGCATATAAATCGTTTTTCCCCGGGACTCAACTTACCTACTACCTTATTTTTTCCGGGACTCAACTTACCTACTACTTGTTTTTCTCCGGGACTCAATTTACCGAGTTAGGGTCATTTGGGACTCAATTTACCAATCCCGATTACAAGAATCAATAGTCAATAACATGCCGGGCTCTTTTGGATACCTTATCTTTGATTATCCGACTGCCGAAAATAATGTAGGATATTAAATTTTATTAGTTTATTAACATTATTAAACTATATTATGCTTATTAGTTTATTATCATAGACCATACAATATGGAAGTTTCAAAGGTTTCATTATATGATGCAATTTGTGAATTTTGAAAATTGCCGACTAGTATTTACAATTTGCCGACATTAGGGGGGTGTCAAACCCCCCCATACCCCCCATAAAATCGCCCCTGCATCGTACTTATAATCTATTATATGTTTTTAAATCTATTAAACTCAAATAACCATTTTTAATAATTTGTTTTTAATTTAAATATTTTAAATTATTATAAAAACATTGTTATTCATTTAAAAATAAATTCCTGTGACTAACAAATAATGTCATTTTTTAATTTATTTTTACGTCATTCTAAAATTATAAAATAGAATTTTAATGAATCTGACTAGCATCACATTAATATAAATTGTTTGGTAAAACATAATTTATAGCAAAGTATTTATTAACTATAGTCAATTTAAACTTATCGACCAACAGCTGTAAATTTGTCTGCTATTGTATTTTCATCATTCATAACCGTGTTCACATTATCGTTTTACAATAATAAATTGACATAAACAATATAAAATTTATGTTATTATTTGAATCGTCTTATATAATCAGAATAATTTTATACTGTTAAATACAGTCTGAGTCATCAATTTATCATATTCAAGATTTGTAAAATGATATAATATTATATAAGGTCTAGATCACAGCAATTAATTTATGGTAAACTATATAAAACATACCTATTATACATAATTTAAATATTAACAAAATTATTACACTATTATTAATTTATATCAATTTTCTTTTGTTAATAACAGCAAAAATATTTTAACCTCTACATTTGAGTGTTGTTACTGGGAAAAAATTAGATCTAGTGATACTTGATAGAAGAGAGAAGGATTAACAGTAAAATATTCAAAGAACTTTTTAAAATAATTGGAAAAACTAAAAAAAAAAAAAAATATGAAAACAGGAATATTTGTGTAACACCATTTTTTAAATTTTTGTATTATTTAAGTTAAAATTTTGAAAACATTCATGAAAACTACAAAAATAAACAAATTATTTTGTAATTAGAAATTCATAAAATTTTAATTTTATACCTACCTACAATATGAAAATTTAACACAAAATTTTCAACTTTTATATAAAATTAAAATTCTACCGGAAAACCAAATAAATTAAATTTAACAATAAAAGTATTTTTTATACTTTTTTTAGTATAGTCCTATACTCAGCAATTAAGAGTATTCTAAGTTCAAATTGTTACGACATTGAATATTTACTCATAAAATAATGATTTATTCTCAAAAGATATTAATTCTTTACTTGTAAGCATTTAATTATAGGTACTTGATTAGTCATTTAGTCATCTTCTACATGCACAATAAATCAATGACATTTTCAAAATATGTCATAGCAGTTAAAACATTTTTAACTGTTTAATATTTATACTCATTCAAAAAGCTTAATACGTAAATTATTTATTTTATACATATTCAAAGTATAAATTTGTCAAAATTTAAAATTAAAATGAAAAATAACAAATTTAGTTATTTAATTTTAATCAACATATATTTAACTACAGAAAATAGACACGTTGCCATTACAAATATTTTTACCAAGGCTCGGTAGTATATTCTGTACTACTACATCTACTGTATTATTGTGATCACTGTATTTTTTTATTTATAGCTATTTAATGGATTTATAACGAACTAATAGTTTGTAATTCCTAAATATGTACCGTGCAGAGGAATAGAAATCGTTAAAAATGTACATGGTATTTGAAAATGCGCATTATTTTATCAAGTATACATAATATATATATATATATATATATATATATATATATGTGTGTGTGTGTGTGTGTGTGTGTGTTATGTGCCGAACGGGAATGTGCTAGTTTATGTAGTTTTTTTTTATTTTGTGCTGCTGTGACAATAAGCCACCCGATTGTAATTCACGTCTTGTGCAAAAGTCGCCATCGCAGACGCGACGTGGTTCTTACAACAACAACAACAAATAGTAATAATATTATTTTATGACGCAGTAACCACAACCGTATTGTCAGCACCGCGCGTCAAAGATTACTTTGCAGAGGCTGCGAAAAGAGAGATCTGATGGGAAACACAGCAGGGGACGGTGTTAAACACATTGTGCATTTCTCGAGACGCAATTCCCCGTAACCACCCCTAAGGATTCATACATCGCCACCACGGTCACGTGCAAAGAAACCGTGAAAGAGAGTAAGAGAGAGAGTAAGTCAAAAACACAGCATGCGTGTTTACAGAAAAAAAAAAAAATTTTAAATTATAGCACTATATAGTACCCAATAGTCCCCTAAAGCGGGTCACGAAACGCAAAAACAAATGACGTCAAACGCATGCGCCTTACAGGCGAGGCGCATATTATGTAACATGCCTCCTGTTACATCATAGTCGACTGAAGTGGAAATAGTGTGATTATAGTAATAATAATAATAATAATAATAATAATAATGTAAACACCGAGAGAGCTTTGGTCGAGTAGTGCGACATTCTGTTCGAAAACAAAATAATCGACACGCGATTAATAACGTTAAAAACAAAGTCAAATACCATGATTACAATCACAAAAATATAATAGCTGTGTGACGCCTGTGCGTGTTCGAAAATACTCGTACAACAGATAGAGGTATATTATTATATCGTAAGAAATCCGCTGTGCCGGCTGTAATGGTTTTGTTGTGCTCAGTGCATCCCTGATCCCTCCCCCCCCCACACTCGTTATCTACGTCGTAGGAATTGCGTCTCAATAAAATAATATCACACGAGCTACACTCGCCAAAATATCCGACGATGGCAAATGTATCCGATTACAACACGCGCGCTTTTGTAATGTACGAGCCAGACAATGAAAGAAGAACGGTTAACGATAATATTATAATAACATACCTAAATAATATATTATTATGTTACCACAACACGCCACTGCGCCACTACGGTATTTACAATCAACAGTAGTGCCTAAAATGCGGCTGGCGACAAAAAAAAAATAAAAAAAAAATAGTGACAGTTTTTTAAAACTATGCGTAATAAATATAACACATGGGTAACGAGCGTGTATGATGATGATTTATCGACGTATTATGAGATTGAAGTATTCATATTATTTAGAACAATTTGCTTAAAACACTTGAAAATGAAATATTACACTCAAAATAAGTAGATTAGGACGATTCGATTATATGGATGTACGTACTTCAGTATTTATGTTAATTATTATTATGCTAAGGTATCTAAATTCTAAGAAGTAGATACATTGGTCCCCAATGGGGGGGAGGGGGCAAAACAGTGCACTTGCTCCCTCCTTGAAAAAAAAATTATATAAACTTGTAATTCAATGAATATTACCATGATATTATTAGCTAATTACAAAAACGAATTGTTTTTTTTTAATTACTGTTATTATACGAAATAAGTACAAATTAACTACGTGCATATACGTATGTATTACCTATTTAAAAATACAAATATCAATTATTAATTTATTAAAATATTTATGCTTAGTATCACAGCATACTTACATTTATACTCGAAAATAATATTAAATCTTTATTATCTTACATTTGAGAATTTTTTTTATTTTGTCTCTCTAAAATTTTACTTATAGGTGTCCATGAGTAGATATAAATGTTATATTTTGAATTATTTCAGTTATGAATGAAAATTATTAAGCTTTTTTTTTTGTGATGTGGAAAAAACTTGAAACGTTGGTTAGGTACGTTAAATGTTAATTTTTTTTTTTTTTTTTGGATGACACCCATAAACTAAACAGCTAACCGACCATATCACACTTACAAGGTTTACCTACTATAATGCCACATTAATATTATTTAAAATTATGTTAAATTAACATAAACGTTGTTGATGTTGAATACCATGGAAAATTATTAGGTATATCATTTTCTCTGGCAGTATTTTTGCTTAATAATATAAGATAATTTTTCCAAGAAATTATTATTATGGTAACAAGTAATACATTTTAACGTCTTTGTGTAGCACCACCACAACGAAGCACATGAAACTGTATAATACTTGCCAACAGCGTTAATTATTATTTATTACTATCAATTTTAACTACTAGTCACTAATTAGTAGAAACCATACAAATAATCTTGGTTCCAATAAGAAACTTATTAAAATAATTGAATGTTATTAATTTTAAAGGTACACTAATACT